AAACTAAAAGAGATATTAAACAGAAATTAAAGGGGCAATTAGAAAACATTGGGCTGGAAAGCAGAAAAAACCTAGAGTGGAGTAAATTTTAAACCTAGGGCATTGGGATTTGTTCACACAGAGGAAGGTCAGATGGGGATAAACTTCCAGCAGTATTATGGAAGAAGCCAATAAGGAGTTAGCTGGGACTAGCATAGAGGGAGTGCAATAAATTTAAAAAAAACAGAGAAAAGGACTGTGAACTGGAAGAGAGGAGACAGGCTAGAAACGAAAGAGAAAAGAAAGAAGCAGCAGAATAAATATTGTATGGGATAAGAGAGAAAAAGAAAGAACAGCCTGTTCTAAATCAGCTCATGGAAACCTGCAGATCTCCCAAATCTGTTTTATTAATTGCCAATGCCAAGTTTAAAACTGTGTGTGTACTGAACTTTTCGTGTGGAAAGGCAACTGTCTGTGCAAATTTAAAATGGACCAGGAAGAGCATTATCTCAATGGCAAAGGATGTTCTAAAACTCTGAGCCCAGAGAACTAAAATGACATCTGACAGCTTCAGACATAAAATATTCTAGGGGAAGTGAGACTCTGGATGCTACTGACCTAAAAGCTACTAGGCATTGCTACTGCTGTTATTTTAACAAGGGCATAGCTTCTTCCAGCTCAGTTCATCTTTCCAAAGGTGCTAATTCTTTAAAGGAACAGTGAAGGAACAGTAAGTACATTGGAAAATGTATCATATGCAAATATATAATTGTCTCCCATTCAGCATATTAACACACATACTCTTCAAAATAAATAATAAAAAAAAGTTATTCCTGAGTATTATAATTGTAAACACCTGTAATGGTGGATTACAGAATCACATTCTTGCACATGAAATGAAAGCAATAAAAATTTGATTTTTAGGCCATGAAGAGATGCAGGTAAGAGCCTCGTTAAGGTATGTGAATGCAAGTCCCAAGAACTTGCACACGAAAGATCCAAGCAGACAGATAATTTTGCAGGTCATTGATAATCAGACAAGAAGTCTGAACAGTCATGTTGGGTCTAGTGTAAGATCATTACCTTAAGACAACAAAAAATTATGGGTCATATTGTCCATCCAGGGATGAATGGAGCCCCTCTTGGTATGGTGCAAAAGGAGAAGTAAAACTACCCAACTAGTAAAGGGTGTCTGCCCTGAGTTCCCAGTGACTGCAAGGGCTGAGTCACAGTGGGTTCTTGGACATGCAGGGGAGTTTTAGCAGGAAACCGCCTACCACTTTTATTTACAGCTCTACTTCAACTATGCCATTCGACTCAGCTCAGGAGGTGATTTTATCACTCTAGATGTTGTGGATGCATCTGTACAGAGACACTTTCCAAAAGGCCACGTATGTTTAGCGTTGTTTTCATGAGGTTTCTTTATCTATTCACTTCAGATGGAAGAAATTCTGACCTGCACACAGGCTTTGCAGCTCATCTGTTTAGAAACCAGCGTGCTGTCAGTGAGCACAGGCAGCTACAGCAGCACAAAAACACTTCAGAATTTGAACAATTCTGGTGTCTCATCATTAGTTTTAAGCAAGGCAGGAGCTCAAAGATCCAGAAAAGCGAGGGGACCACAGTTCTGCCAGCCTATCCTGCCCCAACGCAGTGATCTCCACATTCAGCGCCTGGGAGAGTCCTGTTCTCCCACATTCAACACATTATCTTCCCGGCAATTAACTTAATTAAAACAACAGTAAGTTTGTATTAAAAAAACATTCTGGAATGCTGGTAAAGTTTCTTCTTTGTAAAATACAGAATTCTCTATAGGAATCTATGGTAAAAAAAAATGTAATTGTTTGCATATTCCAGCCCTTAAAATTGAGACAGGACCCTCCTTGCCTTTCTGCCAATTGTGTCCTAGTTTTGTGAGAGTTAAGATCACACATTTCCCCAGCACCCCTGTGTCACTCGGTGCACAAATGTGTGAGTGGGCAGATTTCAGGTTGCATATGCAAATGTAAATCTGATATTGCCCAGTTTTTTAGTTCTTGGCTTTGTAACCACATGAAATCGGTGCAGTGTGTGCACCAGTGTACAGGATGGGAGGAAGGCTGTGGTCTCTGCTGCACTGAAGTGCAGACTGCTAATTAGGAGAACAGAAGAGGAAATGGGGTAATGTTTCTCTGGAAGAGTGATGGGGTCTCATGACTGCACCAGAATCCCATTTTCAGAGGGGAATGGCTGCTAAATTCCTGCTGATGAGGACTTGTCTCCAGTCATGGAGTGCTCCTTGGGGCAGTAAACCCAGTGGAAAACAGCACCATGACCCAGACTCTCCCAAATCTCCTGCCTGTACAGGCATCTGTCATATTTCCCCAGCCCTGAAAAAGAGGCTGGAAGGAGATAAGGGAAGAAACATAAAACCAAGAAAATATTTCTGTTGGACCCACTTCTGTCTGCATATAGCAGTAGGCAGAAAAGTTTATGCAAATTAGAATCAGACACAGGACTTCTGGGAAGTTGGCAGTGATGCTCTCAGTGTCTCAGAGCTAAGGTATGAGTGAAATTAAGAGAGGAAAGCCTCCTAATAACCAGTACAAACATGCAGTTCATCCAGTAAAAAATTGCTTTGACAGTCTATGTTGGCAGCTACAGACACTTGGGATCAGTTTTTCTTTTTTATGCTGCACAAAACTCTCTTGCTGGTCATTCTTTAAATCCAGATTTGGCTTTAGCCCTGCCTTTCAAGCACATATTTGAAGTACACATCTCAAGTACACATCTCACCATGTGCAGAGCAGAGAAGGGACGCTGCATGAATCATGGGAGATGATCTATTTGCCAGAGCTTTGTAGGCTGTGCCATTCTTGGTATTTTCTGCAGTGAGTCTGTCACATGAAGGGGATTCATTTGTGACCTGAAACAACTCAGTGAGTGTGACTCTGTAACACCCAATGGGTTACCTCCCCAGTCTGAGCCTGGTGTTTCCCTCTCTCCCCAGATCACACCCCTCCTACTCTTCTACCACCATCACAACCACGTGCTGGCACAAAATTAGCAGAAAATAGCCACACTCAGATCTGCCTGCCACCCGCTAGTGGAAACTGGGAATTCAGTGGAATTCATGGAACTGGAGGCAGGTCACATACATTACGCCCTTGATACCACAATTTATCTGCACAGTTGATATTTTACAGTTTCATGTGTGTTGTTCGGTTTCCCTGAAATTAACCTTTGAAAAAAAAAAAAAAAAAGAAAAGAAAAAAAGAAGAAAAACCCGCAGCCTTTCAGGGGGATCAGAAACCCATTTCAGGAAACGTTACCAACTTTGATGGTAAATGCAGCCACTGAGAGTAAATGTATTCTTTTGTGTGTGTGTGTGTGTGCATTGGACTAAGTTTTTTATTGAATTTCATAGAATCAGAGAGAAACAGAGGAGGAAAAGTGTGGAATGCTATTCAGCTTACTGCTGGAATAACACATTATATATTGCACACTTATCAGTGGTGAGCTATTTTTAGTATGATCCATGAGCAAGCAAGAAGTCAGGACTTTTTTATCCAGTGCTTGAATCAGGCAAGCTGCTTTTTCCAGCCTGGAAACCTGGAACCCTCCAGTGCAGGGATCTCTAGGCATTGCTCCCCTGGCACAGGGCACAACCCTGCCCTGGGCTCCCCTGGTCTGTGACCCAGTGGTCAATGACTGTCCGGGGGAAAATGGGACACTATGAAAGTAAGGATAAAATATACAAGGAATAAAAAGCCAGAATGAAATTGGAGGTGTTAGGCAGTATCCTTTCAGCTAGCTCAAAATTTGTAACATAAATGTATCTAGAAGGGAGCTTTGAATGTCTTTGTCTTCCAAACCAGGCTATTTTTAGCAGTGCAGTTAAGGTCTGGATGCCACTGCTCTATTCTGGGTGCAATCCTGCTTTTCCATTTTACTAAAAACATCTACTTGGAGATCTTTGCCCAACTGCCTTTTGCAGCATTTTGGATGCAGAAGTCAAGGCTAACGTGAAGTCACATTTGCACCCTGCTATAGCCACAGTATATTTATCACATTCCTATTAAAGCACCAGCACAGACCACAGAACAAAATGTTCACCTGCACAACAAAGGAAAAAAATCCTGAGAACCTTCCTAAGAACACAGACACTGTACTGTTGTCCCTGTGTTTATATGCTGCTGTAACAGGAAATCTTCATAAGGGCTCTGATGAAACTCCTGCCAAGTCTTTAGCCAAGAAATCTAAACTCACTAAAGATTTCCTCCTGACCACAGCATAGTCTGTAAGTATGGACTTGGGAAGATACTGGAGCATTTTTAATGTACCCAGGAATTCTGGGTGCCTGGCAGGGCTCTGGAGCTCAGCAAACCTCAGGATGTGCAGGGCCTTGTCTGTAGCTGCTCCACCTTCACCACAGGTAAGGCACAGCACTGTATGAGCATTACAGGGGCTGACTAACTGCAAAGTCCACACTCCCTGTTAGTATTTCAACCTTTCCTTATAGACTCAGGGAGAGAGGATATAGACCTATTTATATGGGAAATGATGAGAGAGAGCTCAGTGTTTAAATTCACATTCATCAGTGTATTGGTATTTCTTGCTAGAGGTGCTTAATTTCATCTGTTTGCCTATGAAAGTTCTTGAGGGAAAAAGCCCCAACACTTGGCATATGAAGAATTATATCTGCTTTTTCTTGACAACACCCAGCTAATCTGAATTTTTAAACTGATGATTAGAGAAACCTAATTATGGAACTTCAGCTTAGATATATAGTAAATCAGCAATCACCTGAAGGCTGCAGTAACTTATATTGGTTGAGGCTGTAATGCCAGGAACATACAGATCATTTTGTTTAGAGGTAAACCCAGAAAACCATGGACAGAGTTTTGGTACTGCTACAAAAACTGAGAGGTTACTCAGTCTATACTCCAACAGTATAAGACAGAGCCAGAACAGGACAGGTGGAGTAAAGAACTAAAGAGAAGTACAAATTTAAACTGCTCACCTATAATAGCTTCACTTACCTTCCCAAAAGGTTTTTCTGTGAGTAAAGTTGTATTAGAATTACTTGTGGTTTGAGGTCATCACATGTCACTCCTCATACGTCCAAGAAGTTTTTGAAGGTCACCTTGGCAAGCTCAATTCAATTTATGTAACCAAGTCTAAGGCTTCCTTTAGACTCATCAGACAGTCGCCAGCATTTTATTTTGACGTTGTTATGAACTGAAATAAACCTGCAATTGAAAAACAGCATCAGCACTCCAGCCTAAGATAAGTGAATATAAGACTTCTCACACTGTCAGAGGACAAAGTGGCCCTTAGAAGGTGAGTCACCACAGACAGCAAAACCTCCCTGCAGGAGCAACTCAGTGAGATCTCCAGAACTCCTGAAGAAAATCCTCCAGGCTGGGCACTCTTCCCACTTTCATATTCTTAATTACCTAATTTACTGTTAGGAGACATCAAGGCCTGCATGCAAAGCTACACTAATTTTACATAATGTAATATTTCTTCTTAATTAATCCAAAAGCATGTGTGGTGAGGTCTGTATGTAACTGATATAGATGTTTCTAGAATTAGAGAATGCTTCATTAATACCATTAGATGATGTTTGTAATTTACCATTTTAACAACAGATGCCAAAAATTCTACATTTAAAGACTTTTTATCTCTTGTCAGAAATTGTCAGCTTATTCTCCTGATTCCTAGAAATTTTCCTGGAGCTGGAGCATGGTGAAGTTAATCTATTCTGAACACAGCTTATTGAGTTCACATGTAAAACTGGCTGAGGTTTGCAATAAATCTGGAGAGGGAAAATGTCTGAAAAAAAAATCCAATTCTTTCTCCACAAGAGCAATTATGGTGAGTTTTTTTTTCCTTTTCTTTTCTTGGCAAATGAGGAATTAATATTTGTACTCTGAAGAAAACTGTTGACCCACGTATCAGGACCTCTTTTCTCCATGGACAGAGGAGAAACAGAAATCTGGATAATTTCTCAATACTTTGAAAACTGAGACATTAAAATTTACATTAGCTATTTCTTGCCTAGGTATTTGTAGATGTGTTACATAACTAGCCAAGACCATAAGACAATAATAAACTCTATACAGCATCTATCTGTACAGTAGAATATAAGGTGCACATTCAGTAGTTTCTATTTGTTTGGTATAGGAGTTATTAGATTCTGCAGGACCTAATATGTTCCATCATCCTAAGAGTTTGGTGGTGTATGATTCGAGACAAAACTGCAACTGTAAAAAAGATCTGTCAATTAAGATAGGTTAGAATCACAGCAGAAATACAGAGGCCAGCAAATCATGCCCATGAAAGATATTTTCTCAAGGCTGAGTATTAATAGTGATTTATTCAGGTTTAGTCATCCAGGCTTGATGGCTTCAAGTATTAAAAGTCCAACTAAGTAATCTGGAAGGGTCTCAGTGAGCTGTGACAGAAATAAGACTGTCCACCTGGATCTGGATGAGAAGCTGCAAGAGACTGCTATGCCACCACCTTCTGATTTCTCAACTTCCTCTGTGCTAGTTGTGTCTCCTGTAGCAGCACTTTTTTCACTTCAAGAAGAAGACCACTTTTTTCCTTTTAATTTGGGCTACAGAATCTCTCTACATTCAAGGAAGTAGAACTGAGATTTGCATCCATTTGACCATATTAAGAATGAATTTTAATCAGTTTCTTTGAAAACCAAAGGTGAGGGAATACTTGAGTCATTTCCTCCACCTCACCCCAACCATGAAAATCTCCTCCTGTGTTGATTATTATGCCCATGTATAAAAAGCATTAGAAACTGATTCCACAGCCCTTGACTTACTTCAGTAGAAGCACAGCATTTGCCTGTGGTTTGAGTAGATGGACTTATGGGAGCACCAGAAGGAGCATCAAACACTGTCCACCTGCAGCAGCAAATGAAAATTTGTAGTCATGTAAATCATTCAGGAGAAGCTAAATAGGCACTGTAAAGGAAAAGAAGTGGTGGAAAATGCCTGTAAGAATGGGAAATTATAAAAGCAGAGAGTAAAGATACCATTAAACTAGTAATAAAGATACACTGGAGACCTTTTTGCATTATTAGTTGATTTTTTTTTGGTATCCTCAAGGTTCCCACTCAAAAATAAATTTTGCCCAAAGCTTACCACCTCTCCTGTTGCACTCTTTACCGTCAGAATTCCCTTCCCATATTTCATGGATCCATAAATGCCTGAGGACCCTAACTGCACGTACAAACAGTAACCTGGTCTCCAAAACCCACAGCACAGTTCAGCATCAATCCTGTGCCATGTTACTCTCCTTTCATGGGCTTGGGATCCAAAAAGACATGAGAACAGGGAGAAACACAGAGTGTGGCTTCAAGCAAGGGAGAGAGGGCAGCAAGGGAGGCAATGGAAGGGAGCAGAGGTCTGTACTGGCTCAGTTTGGAAAGGATCACTGAGGTGCTTTATTTCAGCCAGACTGGAATAAAATTAGCAACAGGCTCTGAAATTCAGTGCCTGTGTTCCTCCAGCCAGCATTGAAACCTCTGTAGTGCAGTAAGTGTATCTGGAAGCCAAACTTTATATGCTCCTACTTTAACATATCCAGTTCAGTATTTAAAGCTGCAGTTCCCCTGAACAACACCCTGCTATCTCTGGAATCAGCACCAACATTATTTTTAGGGATCCACAGTTCCTTCATTAGTTGTAGAGTATGCACATACAGACTCTCACACACCCACAAAATCCAGCAACACAGAATTGTCATTCAGACGAAAAAGCAACCAGAAAGCAGGCTGCCCTTTCACAATACTTTTGCCAACAATTTGAAACTTTCCTTTTTTTTCCCCCCACTCAACTAATTACCAAGAAAGATGTCTAAACTACTGAGATGTAGAAAGCCCAAACCACATTTTTGTGTGGTTAACTGCTCAGCATTTGAATTCATAAGACTAAACTGAATCTTGATTTGACTTGGTTAATGTCTACAAAGAGCTTCCACTGAAACATCAGACAAGATCCATTTAGTCTGGGCTCAGGGAAACCAGCATTAACTACCCCTGAAAAAGTAGCTAGCATAATTTAAAATAAACAATTCCAGAATAGCCAGCTTAGAAAGAAACTTCCCTCATAGCCTTAGACAGTTAGTTTATTGCTTATTTGAAGCATGGCATTTATGTCTTACAGTTTATCTCTTACAGTGAAATATTTCAGACAACATGGACTATTCCAGGGAGCTGATGAGAGGGAGAGGCTCAGCTGTTACTCAGCTTTAGTACACAATTAAGATTAATTTGCTTAACTTCCAAAACACAGTGTTTTTCATTCTAGCCATTGGAACTTCCTAACAACTACTAGAGTGATCCTTTTAGGAAGACAAACCCAATTCCTATTGTCCATCCCAATTGGATGGCATCTGACTTGTATATTTCCTGCAGAACAGCACAAATTCCAGTTCAGACAGAATTTATTACCTCTTTACCAACTGGTTAACCCTTGTCTAGGTAGATGCTTATCAAGGCTTGATAATAGAAGATTGGTGAATTCCTCAAAATGTATTTTGTTCTTGGCATAATGACGTGTCTGCTGTGACTGACAACTGTGCCAGACACGCATTGTTCTTCAGTGGTATCAGTGTAAAGTGAGTCATCTTTGTAGCCATTTTACCAGGAAAAACTGACTAAAAGGATAAGAGGATGAGCTGTATTCCTCAGGTCCACTTTATTACTTCTTAACTTAGAAAATTGTTGAATGGATAGTATGGAATTGGGAGATGTGTGAGGAAATGACTGGTCACAGTAGTTACACCTTTTGGACATGTCCCATTTAAATGCATCAAACTCTGACCCTAAAACCTAATCAAAGTGGGTGACAGAGGTTCACACTTCACTCAGTGCTGCTGGTTTCACTGCATCTGAAAGCAGACTCAGAGACAGTGTGGTATCTAATTTACTTGCAAAATCAAAGAATTCCGATTTCAAGGGTTTCGTTTAAATGAAAATTCAGATTCTGGAGAAGAAAACAAAACCCACTAAAACAGGAAGGATGGTATTGTGGTTAAGTTTCTAGTATGGGGCTCTGAAGACCTGAATTATGTTCCATTCCTAGCCCTACTGCAGACTATCTCTCTCTGTGACTTCAAGCAAACCATTGAATCTCTTGGTGCTTCAGTTTCCCTTTTTTAAAGATGATGTTGGTGATTTGATCAGTTTAGATAATGAGCACATTCACATAAGAGCTACCATTTACAGTATAAGCACAAGAGAGCCTCTAACCTCAAAACACTATTGAAAAATATGTGACCCTGTTTACTGAACTGTTCTTCCAAGAAAATAGCAATTGCATATTAAATTCCCACACTGATCACTAAACAAAACTCTAAACAACATGCTATTCCACAGATGCATTGGCCTGCCAATTAATCCAAATTCATAACAAAATCAGTGTCTGCTTCTATTCTCCAAAGTTAGGAAAAGGCTAAAATGGGGAGTGCCTGCTGATTTTCTAAGCCTTTCAGGTGGGGATGAATTCAGCAGGGTGTGGATTGCCCCATAATGGAATTTATACTGGGGAATACCATACCTGGTACCACAACCTCCTCTCTCTTGGTGGTTTCACAGGGTGAGGAAAGGCTTGGAGCATAACTAAAGGAAGCTCTGTCTGCATTACACTGCTGCTAGTAGGGATAAAAGTGTGGGGTTTGGAAAGCAAACTAACCAACAGGAAAATGTCTTGTGTACCCCAAAAGATACTGTACTCTCCTACCTTCAAAACCATCTTCAGACCCATGTTTTTTCCCTTGCTGCCACCAGGCAGACCTTGCCTGGCATCTCTAGTGCTTTCTTAACAGATTCCCTCTCCCCTTTGCCCTGTTTCTAGCCCTGCTCCTGCTGTACAAATGCCCAGCAATTCCTCTGAATTTTCTGTCATCTTCCAAACCAGTACTTACAAAATAGGGGTAAGGGCTTCTATTTTTAACAAAAGCTGAGTTTGTTCTTTGTTCTAGCTTTTGGAGATTTACTGATAGAAACCTTCAGATCAGAAGCATTTACTTTGCTGCCCCAGGAAACAAGGGAGAAAGGAAGATGGGATAATGTCTCTGGATAATTTTCTTTCTTCTGAGACTTTGCTTTGCTTTTCTGAGACCATTAGCAGGGAAGAAAGGGAACACAATTTGTTTCTCCACGTGAAAAGGTACTTTGTGAAGAAGACAAAAGCAGGTGTTTCACACAGAAAGCTTTACTTACCAAACAGACCCTAAGTCTAATTCACCTTGCAAAAGGCAACTGCTTTTTGAGTGACAGAGCACAGATCAGAATAATCTGAACTGGCAGCTGTGCTTTCAGCTTCAGTCCTTTCTAGAGATCTTTCTCCATGGGCTCTGTCCAGCAACTCTGCACCGGTTCCAAATTTCTGCACTGCCCTCTACTGGGTACAGTAAATATCCAATCCTGCCGGCTTGGAGCTCTTCCCAAGGCCCACATTGTAGGGTTTGAAGCTGAGGGAGTGGATGTAAGAAAGGAAAGAGGACGGGAATGATATAAGAAAGGAAAGAGGACAGGAATGGGGGATTGCAAAAATGAAACATGAATGGGTAGAATTGAAGATATCTCAAGAAAGCTCAGTCTGTGGGACATCTAAAACCCCAGCTCTTCCTGTCACAAAAACTACACTCACTGTGCAAGTGTCCTTCACATATTACAGCTGATGGCCACTTCTCCTGGGCAAGCCTTTTCAAGGCACTTTATGGAGCCCCCCAGACCACTCCACTGTGATTCACATAGAGATGGTGTCAAACCCTGTAAGCAGCAGCCTGACACACTTGGCTTTTGGTGTCCGAGCTGGCAGGCTCACTCCATCACTCTCCTCAGCAACTGGGAGTTAACATGCCCATTCGAGCCTTGCCAAGCTCTGAAGCTTTGCAACTGAATATTATTACCACATTCTTGCTCAATGAAGACGATTTTTTGGACAGACACTTCATCAGCTGCACTACTGAGTGCATGGCAGACAGACTGCATGTGCACCTGCAGGATCTTTCTTTCCCCTGTGATCTTACAAAATTACGAATTACATGAGGGTGAAACAGCTTTCCTGGCACATCTACAGCAGCCTTCAGCCAACTCCATCTCATCTGAGAAACATGCACAGCACTGTGCTGCCTCACAGCCCTGCCGTGCTCCCACTTACAGCCACAGTGATGGCAGGAGCCAAGGGTGCAGCAGCAGGGAGGGAGCTTGGCTGGGTGCCTCGGGGGCTAGGGAGGAGTTAGAGGATCTCAGCTGTACTTTTGGCTCTGATATACTTTATCTTGACAGAATTAAGGACTTCAAAACCCTTTCATTTGAAGGGTGGAGGGGAGGAAGGGGACTTTTTTTTGCCTAAGTAGCTGTTAAGGGCAAAGCCTGGTTGTATTACCTGTCTGAACATGAACATCAAAACAGCTATTGAATCTGCTCGCAGCATGGAGTGCACTACCCAAAGCAAATAGTGGCAAAACACTTCTCGCTATTGCATGTTCAAATTCTAAAGTAAGTTTCAGTTCCACCATTGCTTCATTCTTTTGTTTTACACAGAAAAGCAGATGATCTTCCCCCAGCTGCTTATGCCAAACATTGACTAAAGCTCTGTTGCTCAAAAATTGTTTGATAGAGTATTCTGAGCACAAAGTGAATCTCTGTGCAAGGTCTTAAAATTCATGGCAAGCTCTGTTTCTCCACATTCATGACAACTATGCATGACAGAACTAAGCAGTTCAATCTTGGTGGCTAAACCATCATCAGAAATTTCCAGGTTCACCTCTTGTACACTGGCTGCACATCAGTGTAGGATGCTATATTGCCATTGGGTTGTCAGTCTGTGACCACACTAGATTCTGAAAAGAATATTCAGTGTCAAAGCAGGACATATATTCCCTCAACTTCATCCCAAAGGACAACTCACAAGGCCTTTCCAGCCCCTCTCCCCTTAATCATTTGACAGAGACATTTCCTCTTCATTGTCACAAAACATGTTGATTGCGGGGAAACTTCCTGGACTTTTAAACATGTTGGTTATTACTTTAAGAAAAAAGCTCTTTGGAAAAAGCATACTTTACTGGGCCTGCTTAAGGGAGCACCTAAGACACTGGTTTGGTACTTGAGGTTTAAAATCTCCCTCTGGGCAAGCAGAACAGCATCCCAAGTCTCTTTCACTGGCTGCTGGCAAGGTTATAAATACAGCTGGGATTTGAACTTTTAACTCTGATTACCCTGTAGAAAAACCCAGGGAAATTCTGCTTTGAGAACTCAAACCCCAGCGTTACATTGAGCCCTCTCACCTGTTCTGTCCACGCTGACCTGTTAGCTCTGAAGAGAGCAGCACGTTAAAACTTCCCATATTGATTGCTTACTTGCTTTCCTTGCCATTCCCCTCCTCCCGCGTTTTGAGCTGACTGCCAGTCAGAGCCTCATCCATCACCTACCTCCAGTGTCCCCTCTCCTCCCCGGGGCCTCAGAGCGCTCTGGTGCTCGGGACTACCCGGCAGCACCTCCCGCCAGTCCCGCCTGACCGAAAAAAAAACGAAAAAAAAAAGAGTAAACCCAGACGTAGTTTGGAGAAGCGGGGTCACCCGGCGAGCGGGACCAGCTCCGTCGGAGGGGCGGGGCGGGGAGCCCGGGGTGTTCTCCGCAGCGGTGCCACCGCTGGCTCGGGGCCACCTGGAGCGACTCCCTGGGAAAGCGAAAGTGAAGCGGGACCACGTGTTTTCCGAGAAGGCGAGGGGAGGAGCCGTGCGAGCCCATCGCCTCCCGTTAAATAGAAAGCAGCGGCGATGCGCGGGCCCAGAGCGCTGGAGCAGCCGCTGCCCGCCCGCCCCGCGGCAGCCCCGGCTCGCCGCGGCGCCAGGCAGGGCCCCCGCGCAGAGGATGCTCGGCCGGCCGCCGGGGCCAGGACCAGGACTAGGAGTAGGAGTAGGACTAGCACCAGGACTAGCAGCGTGTGCTGCGCTCCGGGGACGGCCCCCACCCACGGCGCCCCGAGGTAATGGGGGGTCTCTTTGCCGGGGGGTCCTCGCCAACCGCGCCGTGCACCGAGAGGGTCCTGCGCCGCAGCCAGGAGAGGGGACATTTCGGAGAGTCCTGCCAGTTGTGCAGGAGCGCGGTGGCTTCAGGGGTCTTTGCCTTTTTTTTTTTTTTTTTTTTTTTTTTGGTTTGTTTGGTTTGGTTGTTTCTGGATTTTTTTTTTCTGGATTTTTTTTCCCTGCCTTTTTGGCTCAGTGTCCGTGTTCAGACGGAGCTCTCGTGCCTGGTATAAAACAGTGGGACAAGCAATAAAGCGAAAGCGCAGCGGGTATTGCGCGGCACCGCTCTTGCCCAGGGACCCTCACTAGCGGGGGGAGCCGGGGCAGCCCCGGGACGGAGTGCACGGAGTGACCGCACAGAGTGACCGCACGGCCGCCGGGGCCTCGTCCCAGCCCGCTGCCCGGGCTTTCGGGCTCTGAAATCTGGCGTGTCCCCTGTTTGCTCCGTGCCCTTCGGAAAGGCACCCCAAACTCTCTGTTGGCTCTCTACGGCTTCTGCTAGGGAGCCCTTTGATTTTTAGATCTCTGTCTTAGTGGTTATTTCTCCCCAGCGTGTCCTGAAATTAAATTTTTTAACTTTAAACACTGAGCGATAATCCTGGCCCAGAAACTGGAAAAACTGGCATCAGTTTACTTCTGCTACGCAAAGCAAGCCTAATGCTACTTTCAGCATGTTAAGTTGTTTGCCAGCATAAGGATTTTATAACCCTCTTAGCTGCTTGATGTTTGGTTTCATTTAGGTCCTATTACCTCCTCAAGTTGTTAAATTAGCACAGACAGGAATCCAGCTGCGTACTTTCTTTGAAATCCTCATTAGCATGTTACCCCGAACTGTAAGATGGCTGAGGGATTCATTTCTGAGAATACTTCAAGGTTTCTCACAAGCTGCTGCTGCAGATCTATATCTGACTATAGGGATAAATCCTAAAATCTATGCTTGCCAGTAAGGTCAAGGCAGCCAGCGGAGATGTATTGAACCACACTGTCAGAGGCAGACATTTCAGGCCGAACTCATTCCTGGTGCAGCACTGCTAATTCCTTTGAAGTAACACGAGGGATGAATTTAGTCCCTCATGCTGAAAGATATATCAATAGGAAGCAATTTAGATTGGGCCACTTAAAGTGCATGTAATACAGAAAAGAGAGAGGCTGCGGAGTAATGCTTTAAGGGTTCACAGAGGTTGACTTGTATACGCTAGTGAGGTTGTAGCATTGCTGTCCCAAGGGAAAGTTGGGGAATGGGAAATTGCCTTTTATAGCTGAGCCTCAGGTTAACAGGGGAGAGGAAAATAGTTTTAGGATTGCTGTGTAACTTGGCCGTGTTACAGCCTGCCCCTCCAAGTTACACCTTCTTCCCCAATTATCCGGAAACATACCCTTCACTCACTTTCTCTTTTTCACACAATGCAACAAATAACGACATTGTCTGAGTTCTGACATTGGGGAAGGGAAAGAGGGAGGGGCAGAGAAATTGGTAATTCAGTTGTAAAACTTTGTTGCTTTGTTCTCTGAAAACTTGAGAATCGGATGGGGTGTACACAAGATAACTTCTCATTGAGAAGTCATTTGACTCAGTAGGCCCTGGTACCCTTCTGTGGGCTCATAACGGGGAAACTGCATCATCCTCTGTAGCTGTTAATGATCCTTGCTAAATATTTTTGGAGCTTTGGGCTTTGCCATAGTGATAGACTGTTAATCTTGTCAGAAAGCGAGCAGTTCTTTGCCCAGTGTAAATTGGAAAATGAATATCTTATTTTATAACGGGTGGGAGGCATATCAATGGAAGACTTGGGTCATTCAGCGATTGCAGCCGCTTCCCTCTGGGGATCTCACATGGTGTCTCTCTTTGGCATTTCAGAATAGCTGCTGGAAAGCTGCCCCGCCGTAGCCGCTGACGCTATGGAAGACCGCATCCGCTGCTCTCGGCTGTAGGATGGTAGCGCACAGCAAGGTGTCAGCAGATAATGCAGTTGGAGCAGACCCAAGACGGCTACTTGACCCTCCGGCACGGGATCGTTCTCAGGCGCGAGGTTTGCACGGCCCCGGCACTGTGCAGGCACAGGGCAACACGCACTTCCGAACCTTCCGCTCCCAGGCGGATTTCAGCAGCATCACCCGAGCCAGCAGCCTGCTGGATGCCTGCGGCTTCTACTGGGGACCCCTGTCTGTCAGCGCGGCCCACGAGAAGCTTAAGTCTGAGCCCGAGGGCACCTTCCTCATCAGGGACAGCACACAAAAGAATTGCTTCTTTGCCATTAGTGTTAAGACTGCGTCTGGGCCCACCAGCATCCGGATTAACTTCCAGACCGGTCGTTTCAGCCTGGATGGCAGCAAAGAGACTTTTGACTGCCTTTTTAAGCTGCTGGAACATTACCTGAGTTCCCCGAGGAAGGTACTGGTTACCCCCCTGCGCAAGGTCCGGGTGCAGCCGCTGCAGGAGCTCTGCCGGAAGAGCATCGTGAAGACTTTTGGAGGAGAGAACTTAAACCACATCCCCCTCAATCCCGTTTTAAAGGACTATCTGAAATCCTTTCCATTTCAGATATAAGTACAGCATTAACTGCATAGGGACACGTGAGATATGTGTAATGAAATCCAGCGTCCTGGGTTTTTAAATATGTTTGACATTGAGCAAACTTATTTTTGTAGCAATTTACTGTATTTTGGGATGGAACCTGAACACTTGACTTCTTATGTTTACAAAAACTGTTTGCACAAACCTGGGGTTTTAAAACCCTGGCGTAATTTTTCTGCCAAGCAGAAGGTTTTATTATTTTATAATATTTTTAATGATATTAACATAATAAACTTTATTGTGACAGTTTTTAAAAAAAAAATAGCATCTCTGTTTTCAGTTTTAAAGGCTCTCATACCTATCCTGCTGACAAACTTTAACTGCTTACTTCTGTGTAACTGCAGACAGGTCTCCACGTGGTCCTGTTCTTTGTCCTACCGAAGTAGTCTGTCTTAGTCCAGCAGGCAGAGGATTCCTGCCCTCAAAAGCCTGCAATAGAAAGATGCAAGCAAGTAGAAAATGCATTCAGGATGAATCTGCCCTGGAATCTAACTGTCTTCTAAATTCATGGGAGCAGGGACAATGTGTTAAGACTAGAGTGATGCATAGTTTTTGATAGAGTGAATCAAACCCTTGGCTGAGCAAATTGCACCAACTCTGCTTTGCCTTGTTTCTGTTAAAAGATACAAGGCCCTGAGCAAGAAGAGGTTGCTGCCTGATGTAACCAAACCCCATGAATCTCGGAGGGGAAAAATGAAACTGTCCAGAAATGCTGTTCACACACTTTAAAAGTCTGTGAACACTTCATCATTATGGTGCATTGGGGAAAGGATAGCTTAGTTCTCTTTGAAAATTAACACACACAAAATTACAAGGGTGCAGACATTCCCTAGACCTAAAAAAGATTTTTCCTGTCTTAAACTCCTGGTGATCTACAGTGCACAGATTTGATACTTAAAAAGAACCTATGGCTTGGGTCCATGACAGGATCCAGAGAGCATAAGCCTATACCTTTTCAGCTATCATTTCTAGTGGCTAAACTGCATTCAGAGAAAGTTAAACCTTAGTTTTGTTTCTCTCTGCTCATAAAATGCAAAAAGAGTGCCCCACAGAGCTGCAACTGAATGACTTGAGATGCCTGATTTGGTAAAATGTCACCTGCATTATGAGAAAGTGATTCTTCCCTCCCCCAAGCATTTCCTGAAATCCATGAAAAGCTGACTTAGAAAACCAGCTGAACCAAATCACTTCAAAGAAGGCACAGAGTCTTTCACAGAAACTCTATCAGCACAGATCTACAGGGCTTACAGGAACTGTAAGCAGTAAATGAAGTAATCTTCAGAGTTTGGGAGATAAAGGGTCTCTCCCCCTACTGTAATTCACATTCCTTTTAAAGAAAAAGCCACTTTTAGGAAACATTGAGTATATATTCTCTGGTGATTCTTACTGAATCATTTGTTTACTGTTTACCCAATCGGCTCTTACAAGGTTGATGTTTCTTTGGAATGAATAGGTTTCCTCCTAAATATGACTAAGGATCACTCTGCATTAGACATTGTGAAAAAAGGGAAAAAGAGAACACACAGGCAGTATCATGTGACTTGCAGCATTTCTGCTTAATTCTGAAGCTGGAATTAGTTACCAAATGATTTTCCCCACAGGAGCTGCAAGGATATAAATTCGGGAAGAAGTGAATGCTGTGCTATGAAGCAGTGAGGAGAGCAGAGCAAAGCCACTGCCTGAATGTGAATAGCATTAAGAAGTTAAATTGGAAAAAAAGCCTCCGTAGGGTGAAGGCTGCCAAACTGGTTTGCTATCAGCAGAGATTGTTATCCCTTTCCCATACTCTTCTCCCAGCTCCACACTTTTAACCTCTTAACCCTTCAGGCCCCAAACTGCCTTGCTATATAAATGAGCGTCCACAAGACAGTGGTAGAACAAGCACAATGTAGCTTAGTAGGTTTTCTGCTACCTCTGGTAAAACCAAAAAAACTAGACCTAGATATACAGTAAGGGACTTCCCACTGAGAGGCATGGAATGAAAAGCATATTAAGGATTGAGATAATTAAATTTTCTTCCTGGCAGAACCAAACCCATTTTCTTTTTCTCTCCCTTTTATTGCTTTAGAG